AAATGCGTTTCTTTATATATTATATATAATTTAGAAATTAAAGCTTTAGGAGTATTTTTTTTTTTTTGCGTTAAATATTTTCCGTTTTCAAAGTGTTTTAGCGCTCTTTTTTAAAAAGTTCAATTATTTTGAAATAAAGTTATCTTATTATTGCTATAAAATTATACAATATTTATTGATTTCTTTTAAAAGAAAGAATGGAGAAAAGAAAACCTTCAGCTTGGGAGTTTAAACAAAAACGCCGACAAAAAAGGAACAATTGAAATCAAATCAAACATCTTTAGAAAAATATCTATTAAAAACTCATCATGATAAATTGGCCGAAGAATGTCCAACAATTCAAAATCTGGTCGATTCTGGAAATGCAAGTAAATCAACTGAATCTACTAATTTAATTAAAACTATAATCAAACAATAGAAAGATTGATTGAAACTGCTGCTTCTTCAGAATGCTTTAACGATATTAGCGATTGGCAGGAAAATTTAAATAATGATTTCATACAAGATGCTATTATAAATGGTCCTAACAGTTTCAAAAAAGATTCTAATAACTATCCAAGAAATATTGATAACTTGAGTTTTTCAAATGATTATTTTCACCGCATCATGGATAATGGTGAAAATAATCATAGAACGTGGTTAGTTTATTCAAAAAAAGCAAGCAAAGTTTGTTGATTTGTTAAAAACTTTTTTGTTCAAATCCTATTATGTTGGCTCAAAATGGTGATAATGATTGGCACCATATTTCACGAATTTTAAAAAGACACGAAAAAAATCTTAAATATTTTGACTGCTACAGCAAGTGTATGGATCTTATCACAAAATAGATCACAAAAAGGCATTTAATTGATAAAGTTTTGGATAAAAACTTTATTAAAGAAGTAGAACATTGGGACAAAGTAATGAGAAGATTAATTACCCTAACTATTATGATGACAAATCAAAATCTGCCACTCAGAGACTCTTGTGACCAAGTCTTACAAGATAATAATGGAAACTTTCTAAGAATTGTTGAATTTTTGGCTGAATTTGATCCAGTTATGGAAAAACATTTATTGAGAGCAAAAAATAACCAAATTCTGTGCACTATCTGGCATAAGATGTTTAGAATGAATTTATTGACTTGATGGGAAAATCCATTAAATTAAAAATTTGCTCCAATGTCCAAAAGTCCGTGTATTTTTCAATTATTGTTGATTGTACGCAAAACATCAGTCACCAGGAGCAAATGTCAATTCTTGTTCGATACGTTGATGTAGAGGATAAGAATGAAATTCACATTAATGAAAGTTTTCTTGGATTTCATTTAAATGAAGGTTCGAAAGGACTTGAATTATCAAATGAAATTATTGACTCTCTGGTAAAAAATAGTTTGTCAGTGGAAAACATAAGAGGTCAGAGCTACGACAATGGTGCAAATATGAAAGGGGTAAGAAATGGAGTACAGGCTTTTATTTTTAAAAAAAAAACTGCCGAGTGATTTATATTATATGCTGCAGCAACACATTAAATCTGGCAGTTATTGATTCTGTGAGATGTTCAGCTAAATTTGCTATTTTTTTTGAGTATAATTGATTAAGTTTACAGTTTTTTTTTTTTTTTGCTTTGACAAAAAGGTTGTTAATTTTGCAATCAAAGAGTCCTAAACAGTTAAAGCGTTAAGTAATACAAGATAGGAAAGCCACATCAATGCTGTAAAATTTTCGGTTTGAAATGCCTAAAATTTATGAAGCACTGCAAGATGCGGACAAGACCGCTAATAAAACAATTTAAAAAATCACAGCAGAGTCTATTTTTTTAAAAATAACAAGCTTCGATTTTTTATGTTCGATTGTAATTTGACGTGAAGTTTTATTTAAAATTAATTTAACTAGAAAACAACTTCAATCAAGCTTCAAAGAATATTTCAGAGGCTTTAAAAGCAATGGAAAGAACAATTACTTTTTTTAAGGAAAATTACAAATAGGAAAAATTTGACTCTTTTTGAGCTGCTTTTTTTTTATAAGTAGAAGAAGGTTTTGCAGCAAAATCTGCTTCAAGAGTTAGAAAAAGAAAGAGATGCTTTGATGAACCTGAACAAAACTTTGAAAAACAGTTATGTCCAAAGGAAAAGTATAAACAAGATATTCTTAATAAAGAATTTCAATCTGCTACTATTGCAATAGCAGATAGATTTAAGATGGTAGTCTACCTTGAAATATGAAAATTTTCAAAGTTTTAAATTATACTGTTTTACCCTATTTCATATAGGTAGAAAACGGTAGTGATATTTGTTTTTCATAAAAATATTTAGAAGTTATATAATTTCTTCATTAGACATAGATGATTAAAAAAAAATTGTGACGCCTAATTTAAGCGATTTTTAGGTTAACTTTTTACTTGGATCTTTTAAGAAAAATGAATTCTTACATCATTTTTTTTTTAATCATTGGTATTCTTTTAAAAGTAACCCAGGGTATTCACATGCAGTTTTAAAGTATAACCAAAAGTAGAAACATAATTATTTTCAAAAGATTTATCAGAAGCTTGATTTTGCTGCTGACAGATATATTTTTTATTTACATATTAATCTGTCTTAGTTAAACATAATACATTTAATTCGTGCTAGGAGCTCTGCTTAGGTATTTATTAACTTAATGGTTACTATTTAAATTTAGAAAATAATGTTTAGTATGAAAAATAAGAAAGTTGATGCTGGAAAAAATTTGTAAGAAAAGTAGTTCAAAAATTTTCAAAAAACTTTGTTTCATGGGAAAAGTTTAATTGTCTTTGTAAATAGTCTTGTAAATAACACAATTTTAACAAATAATTTTAATGTTTTAACTTTATCAAAGAAACTTACCTTAGTAAATCAGCATTAGCTTCAACAAAACTAACTTTATTACCTAATCGAATCGAATTTTCCACTGTGTTATCATCATGTTCGATAGCTTTGTTTTTAAAAGTATTTTATACGAAATTGCTATGTGTCCTCAATGTCAATCAAGGGGTATTAAAATTTCTACTGATTTGTCAAAGAAGAAAGGACTGCCTATTTTATTTAAATTTAAATGTACAGCCTCTATCTGCTCATGTAATAAAAAAGATTTACTCTAGCTAAGAAATCGATGATGGATCTGGTGAGCAACATCAATCAGATGTTAATGAGATCGATTATTGCAATATAAGAAATAGGAAAGGGACATGCTGCTCCAACAACCTTTTGTGGATTTATGAATTTGCCTCCACCAATGCGTAAAAAAATATTTCATGACATTCAAAGAAACATTGATTGTTTATAAGAAAGTTACTCTAAACGTTTTGAATAAAGCAGCTACTGAGATTTAATAAGGTCTTGGTGAGAACAAGACAAATATTACAGTTTCATGTGATAGTACCTGGCAAAAGCGAGGATTTTTTTTTTTGAATGGTGTCATAGCTATAATTTCTAGTGACACTGGAAAATGTATTGACTACCGCATTCCATTTAATGAATCATTAAATGGAATTATTTGGAAAAGATGTCCAAAAGATATTTTTGTTGGAGTGGATACTCTAGAAATTAGTGTCTCATCTACAATCATAAAGTTTAATGAGGGATTGAATGGAGTTTTAAATATATTTGACATGTTAATTATGTACAAAGGAAAATTTACAAAAGAATTTTGCAAAAACAAAATATGTGCGACAGTCACTCGTGAAAGTCACTCGTGTCTACTCCAAAAGTCAAAAGCTTAAACAAAAAAATAATAAAAGACCCCAGCGTAAAGGTTTTGCAGATGCCATTCAAGAAAGCGAAAGATTAGTATAGAAAACTGGTCTTTTTTGAATTTTTAATTCAAAAAAGATAATGATATATAATTTTAAGTCATAAAAAAAAAAAACATTTCCAGAACCAATAAAGATTTGAAACAGTCTGTTTTGCAAAAAAAAATGTTTTGTTCACGCAATTAGTCAATAGTTAGCTTAAGTTTGACTAAAGCAATTGGTTTTTCTTTTTCTTTTCTGTTTTTCTCAAAATAAGATTTTTGGAAACCGTGCGATAAATAACTTTTTTCAAATAGACCTGAAATTTGGTACACTGATTCTGTTATATATAATCTATTGGCTGAATTAACACTTTGATTTTTACTTTTTCGGTTCTTTGGGCTCAAAGTCTGTATTTTGGGTCTAAATTTTGCTGCCATTTTGAATTATTATTTAAACAAAAACTTTTCAATAGATTTTTTTCTTTTAATTTAGCCAATTTAACCTTCTCATAAGATAATGTACAAAAAAAATCCAGCTCTCTACCTCCAACCCCTCTTGAGTTATTTATCGCAACGCAGATGTCTTGTTTTTTGGTCCCATGGACCAAAAAATAGTGTTTTAAAACCAAATTTGAAAATTTAAATAAAAATTTTATAGTTTTATAAGGTTTTTTATATTGTTGACAAATACTGATAAAGAATTCTAGGATTTAGTTTTCAAAGTAGACTACCACCTTAATGTTTTTAATGCTTGAAGTGCATTTTTTAGCTTTTTATTTGATATTAAAAAGCTCTCAACAGTTAAGGAAGATGATTTAAAATCTCTGAAAATGATATAATATGCAAAGTATATTATATTATTTTTTCCATTATGATATAATATACAAACTATATGATATACAAAGTATATCATATCAAAGTATTTTGATATGATATACTTTGTATATCATATCAAAATACTTTGAAATGATATACAAAGACTCGAGTTAAGTAAAACAAGAAAACTAAATAACTAATAAATTTTCAACAATTAGCCACAAAACAGCAACCGGCATGCCTTGCAGTACCAAATTTAAACCATTTAAAACATAAAATTTTTTGGTGGCTTAGATTAAATTCACTCTTTAGGGCCAAAGTCACCCCTTTTTACGGTATTAAAGTTATTTGATGCAAGCAACCGCAATTTATTATTTATTATTTAATTTATTTCGTAAATTTGCCCCCCATAATGGCCGATTTTGGCTTCGAAAAAATTGCGGAAGTTAGACATCTTAAAACCCGGATTTTAACGCATACCGGACACCTTCGAAAAAGTAGCTAAGGAATAGTTCTAAATATTAAACACTTTTGATGTGACAATAAACTAAAAATGCTTTAGTATTATCGTATTAGAATTAAAGATTTTAAAATGATTGTTAGCATTCATTCTGTCGATGAAAGTAGAAATTTCCTGAAGTTTAATAACCACATCGTTAACGGGTACAGAGTCAGTTTTTCAAAAATTCAATGTTTAAAAAGCGTATTCATGTTGACAAATGAAACTATCAATATATGGACTCACTTGCTCGGTTCTTTATTTTTTTTTTACACCACAATTGATGTTAACGTTTCAATTTTGCCAAGTTTGTCTAGCTCTACTACAATTGACTATTTTATCATGACAGCTTTTTGTTTGTCTTATTCTTTGTGTTTAATGCTTTCCACACTTTACCATGTATTTAATTGTCACTCAGAAGTATATTACATAATGTGGTTAAATAATGATCGTCTTGGTATTACGCTAGGATTGTTAGGCAGCTACATTCCTTCAATTTATTACGGATTTTACCATGAACATTTTCTCAAGGTCTTTTACACAAGTTCTGTACTATTCCTTATTGTATTTGTTATTATATACCAGCTAACTAGAACTCGATATAGTCTACACGATGGTGTTTTAGTAATATTTTATATATTTGTGGCAATGTTTGGTCTTATCCCTACTGTGCATTTTGTAATGCTGCACGGATTTATGCATCCTATTGTTTTACAATTTCTCCCAAGAATTTTTATTATGTATCTTTTAATTTTAACGGGTTATTGTTTTTATCGATGTAAATTACCAGAGTGTTTAATTCTAGGGTTATTTGATTATATAGGCGCCAGTCATCAGATCTGGCATATATTTGTGTTTCTCTCACTACTATGGTGGTATAACACATCTGTCAGTCTCATTCGTTTGCGGTTGGATCAAACTTAAATTAGTTTTTTAATAATTTAAATTATTTTTTTTTTAATTGTTAATAAATGGATTTTTAAATTTTATGAAAAAGATTTTTACTAAAAGATCACACATGTAAAGGTTGTATTTATAATTAATTAGTTGATTTTTTTTTTAATATTTTATGAATATTTTAACTATTGTTAAGAGTGTATGCTCAAAAATTATACATATGATTAAAAAATAAATTTAAAAGTTATATCAGTGCTTTATTTCTTTTTTATTTTTTAGTAAAAAGTATATTTAAATATAGTTTTTATTAAGTTTTTTTATGTTCTTAACCTATTATTTGTATAAGTTTTATTTGGTTTTCAGAAATAATTAAAAAATTAAGTAAATTTTTAAATGCAAAGTTTTACAAAATTATGTAAACTAGATATGATTAGACTATTTAAAGAAACCTTTTTATTTTTATAGATGTTTAACAGGGTAACCCGAAGCAGTATTACTATATTTAAGAAACATACTATTCGAACTTTTGCGTCAAGTTTGACATGCTATAATTTAAACAACTCAAGAAGTTGCGACATAGGAAGACAAGTTTATCATTCATTTGCTGTAAAAAGTTTTGTTTACCAATATCCTGAATGGTCTGCAAATACAATAAATGATGTAGTGCAAGGTATGTTTTTGTTAAAGCTTGAAACATTTTGTGTATATATCTTTCTTTGTTAATCTTTGTATCAAAAATTAATATAATTTAAATACATACATTTTTTTTAGGATTAGTTGATAAATTTCAAGTCTCGATAGGAAAAGAAAATGTATTTCAATTAATAGGTGAAGCAGCAATAAATGAAGATCAAGTTGGAGTCGAAAAAATTCTTAATGAACTTGAAAAGAACTATCATAAACAGTTATATAGTAAAGATATACATCTTTTGAGTCATTTAGCTCATCCAAAAGCTTTATTAAAAATGATTGCAGAAAAAGATAATGGTAAGGTTTGTCTCAATGTTAAACAGTTAACAAGCACATATGAAGCTTCTGTTTTATATAATGAGAATGAACTCAGCAAAGAGCAAAATGAGTCTCAATTGATAGCAGAAAAAATGGCGTGTGTAAAGGCACTCGAAGGCTATTTTTATGAAAAGTTAACAAATATAAATGTTGATCTTGCCTCTTTGCCTCTAGAGGAAGATGTGATTCTTGGTTCAGATGATCTAAAAATAAGAACATTACTTATACAGAAGAAAGCTAATGAACCATATGGATTTACTGTTTGTGGAGGAGAACAGAAAGTTGTTCGTAACAAAGATTATATTCAACAGTATATAATATCTCCCATCTTTATAACTGATATTGTTGATGACTCTCCTGCTCAAAAATGTGGTTTGCATGTTGGAGATATCCTTATAGCAGTGAATGATCACTCATTAAAAAATGTGCTTCATAAACAAGCTGTGTTTAATTTGAAAAAGTTTGTTGGTAGAACCGATGTTCAATTTACTGTTATGTATGATAAAAGTGTGCTGTTAAAGCATCAAATTGAAATGAAGCTAAGTAATCGACAAAAAGAAAATATTAAAGATGAAATTGCCTCTGAACGTTTTGGGAAATGGCATCTTGCAAAAGCTAAAGAGAATCCTGAAGAATATTTCACAGAAACATTTGTACACAAAAAGAAACCATTTTTTCCTAAAAGACATCCTTCTTCAAAGAGACTTTGGGATAAATATGTAACATAGTACTTATACACGTATAACGTAACTTTATGTTTATACATTATAATTATTTTTTGACGTTTTTCAAAGCTATTCAATTATTGAATATTAATTTGGTGTCAAATTATGGAAAATAATTTCAATAGAAAAACCAAAATTTAATATATATGTGTGTGTGTCTTTATATATATATATATATATATATATATATATATATATATATATATATATATATATATATATATATATATATGTATATATATATATATATATATATATATATATATATATATATTTATACATACATATATATATATATATATATATATATATATATATATATATATATATATATATATATATATATATATATATATATATATATATATATATATATATATATATATAATCCTATATGCATTTCATCATTCGGCAAATTCGGACCTTATGTCGGTAAATTGAAACCTTTTTTGCAGATTCAGTCGGCAAAATGGGACTTGGATTATTTATTTCTAGTCAGCAAATTAAATTTGGAATTGCAAAACTTTTAAAAATATTGTATAAATTGTTTCAATTAGATATAACTCATAGATCATAATTTTTAAATACTAAGAGACTATTGTATAAAACTTAAATATGTAGATAAATGTTAATTTAATTATTGCAATAAAAAAACTGTTTTACTAACTCGCTCTCACTTCTTAAAGAGCAATGAACTTATCGAATTTGTGTATAATTTTAATGTGTAATCGAACACAAAAGAAATGCACGCAAGGCGCACATAAGGAATATGTGTAATAGACCACAAAAAAAAGAGTACATAACGCTCACGTAAAGAAAGCAAACATAGTATAAACTATAAAATATGAAAAAACAGTGGCAGATTCCATGGCCGTAGACAAGTGGGGGCTTGGTAAGAAGGGGTGGGGCTAAAGCCCTTCCCTCGCTGTTTTTTTGTTGCGCGTCTGATAATATTTTAATAAATATCTGTAACTAATTTCTCTAATCGCAATTAAATGAATAATAAAAATAAAATTGCAGCAAATGATAGTAAACTTAGTAGACTAAAGTTTCCTATTTTTTTTTTTTTTTTACCAAAGTTTAGTAAATAATTGTAGATTTTACGTTACCTTTTAAATAAAAAAATAGAACTCTTTGTATAGAACTTGTTACAACGTAGTATTGAACTTGCTACAACTAAAAAATTGCCTTACAAGAAAAAAAAAGTTTTTTTGTTCCTGTAAGGCAATTTTTTTTTGCATTTTCCTTTTTTAATTTAGAGTTTTAAGTTTCATGAATTTAAATTTAAATATTATTAGATAATATTTATTTAATAAATATTAGATAATAATAACTGTTTGCAATCGGATTATTTAAAAAAATTTGAATTTTCCAAATAATAGTTTCAGAATAGAAATAAAAAAAGTTTGAATCATTTATAGTAACATTACGTAACAATGTAATATATGATTTCAGTGGTATGTCTTTAAAACGAGACCCAGCAAACATGTCCTATTATTTTTTGAAAATTATTTTTTTTCATGTATAAAAAGTTTTTGAATGTGTATACACTATTTGAGTTTTCATAAACCCACAAGCAAAAATGTTTATAGAATGACAGGTCTTGAAGAGGTGTTTTATTCTGAGCGTTAAACTTAATTAATAAAAAGGTTTAAACTTACTTATTTATAAAAGACTATTACTTTTAATATTTAAATACTGTGGTGTATTTTTAAATGGTCATTATTGTTTGCCTTATTTCTCTAGTTTGATTTCCTCTTTTATTTCTATAAAGCTAGACTCACGTGACATATTTATGACAACATATTAAATTATATGTATCTAATTTAAAAATAAATAAGTAATTATTCAAAACATTATAAAATATTTAAATAAATAAAAAAGTGGGACCCATGTGGGTCCCACATATGCAGCCCATATGGGCTGCTCAATTGGGCCCCAATTCATGCCCAGCGACAATTTTTCTTGGGCGGGATGTGGGCAACCCATTTGGGGCCCATAAAGTTGCCCACTTGGGCCCCATGTGGGGCCCAATATGACTTGCTGGCTGGGGAGTTGTTTGGTGCGGAAGTGAAGCGTCTTTAACGACTGAAGGAAATATTGGAAGGGGCAGATACCAACCGCACTATTACTTCTTTCTATACAAGAGCTGCTCCTAGCTCTGCCTCTAGCCCTCAACTACCACTCTACAGCATTTTTATTAGATACTACTTCGAATTCTAATGGTTTTGAAAGTATTTTTACTACTGCATCTCTTGATAACCCTGGCACTGCTGCTACTACTTCTTCTTATGTTGGCTCTGCATCCACTGTTACTTCAGCATCATCTTCTAGCTCTGTCTTTAATTTCTCTTTTTCTTTACTAACTCAGCCAACAACAATGTAAACTGTTTCAGTCTACCAATAAAAGCATTTAAGTAACAGTCCGCATCAACCTGTGTTAGTTTTTCCAAAACGTACATGTGGTAGTCAGAAGCGATCATTTTGTCAGCAATAGTACAAGTTGTTTCCGTCATTACATTACAACGAATGTAGCGATACAGTTTTATACTACTATTGTATGTTAATTGGAATGCATAATTTATCATCTTCAAAATACAGCGAGGATGTTTTAACTGGATCTTCTAATTGGTTAAAGGGTTTACAAAAATTCCAGAAACACTAAAATACTCATGCTCATCGAGATGTCATCGAGAAGGTTATAACTGTACCTTGAACAACTAAAAATATTGGCGAACTTCTCAGCAAACCTCATGTAAAGGAAAAAATGGAAAATAGAGCAACGTTAATAATAATAATAATAGTAATAATAATAATAATAACGAATAATCAGTTTCTCACCAGACAAGGTATTGCTCTATGTGGTAATTACAATACAGACAAAGACTATAAAGAATTTTGTTCGAACTTTCCTCAGTTACTTAATCTCAGAAGTAAAGATAATTCAGCTTTAACTAAATGGATGAGAAAGTCGCAAGATAAATTTACAAGTGCAACTATCCAAAATGAAATTCTGCAGATAATGGATCTCAATATACTCAGAAAAATTACATCCAACGTTTCTGGAAATGATTTACTAATATGGTAGATGAAACCACAGATCAGTCTCATGCACTGAGCAAATGCAATATGTAGATGAAGATGACATGGAAATGAATGAAGTGTTTCTCGGACTTTACAGTATGGAAAATACATCTGCTGAAAGTATTACTGCAACTATAAATGATGTTCTTATGAGGATGAATCTTTCTATTATTAATTGTTGCAGTCAATTTTATGATTGTGCCAGCGTCATGACCGGTTGCTAGTCTGGAGTTGCAAAGAGAATAAGTGACTTCGAACCCAAAGCACTATATTCCCATTGTTATGGTAACGCTTTAGTACAAGATACGCTTAAAGCTATCAGCATCATGAAAAATGCTCTGAACACCCTTCATGAAATTACAAAGTTAATAAAAAATCTCTCAAAAGTGAATGCCTTTTCAAAAAGGTAAAAGAAAATGTTCTCCCTGGGAAACCCGGTATTTGTATACTCTGTCCTACACGCTGGACGGTAAGAGCAGAATCATTTTAATCCATATCTGAAAACTATGAAGCTCTACAAGTTGCAACAAGCTAAATCTGAGACAAAAGACAGTGAGATTTTTGCTTGAATAGGCGGAGTTTCAGCACAAATGGACTCCTTTTTTGTTTGGAATTGAATTGGGCAAGACTATGCATGGTAAACAAATTATCAAAATGTTTGCAAAAGGTTACACTTTTGGCTAGTGAAGGTCAGAAAGTTGTTGAAGAGCTTTGATTACATTGAAATCTATCTGGTCTAAAAATTCATTTGAGATATTCTGGAACCGTAATGAAATTAAAATCATTAAAAAATAATGAAAAGAAAACTGCTTTAACTCGAAAAACCTGCTTTGCCACGCCATTGCAAAATACCTCGTTGTATTGAAATAAGAGCATCTGCATCAGAAATATCTGAAAATTCTAGCTGTGACTTTTTCAAGAAGATCTATTTTGAAGCTATAGAAATGACAGTTAAGAGTATTCAATTTTGATTTGAACAACAAGAATATTTAATGCTTCAAAAGATAGAATCAGTTCTTATAAATGGAGGTACTTCAATAAATAAAAAAGTTCTTGTTTTCTATGCTACAGATTTGAATGCTTCAAGACTGCATGAACAATTACAAGTTATGCACGAATCCACAACTAAACTCTAAAAAAAGTCCTTAATTTTGTCAGGTAAAATATGAATGGATTTCCAATAAACCTTATTGTTATTTATTTAATAATTACGACTCCAGTGTATCTCAAATTGACTAACATATGCACTACAATGCGTATTTGTATGCTAATATCACACATAATTTTTGTGTTTTATAGAGAAGCAAATGAAGTTGAAAAGGAATCATTATGAGAAATCAGGAAGTTGATAAAACTTATCGTTCTGATACCAGCAACAAACGCTACTGACGAGAGAGCTTTCAGCACACTACGAAGAATCAAAACTTGGTTAAGAAGCATTATGAACCAAGTACGGTTAAACTGGTGTATTTTGTTAAATATACACACACACAAAACTGATGAACTGAACATGTTATATATAGCAAATGATTTTTCTAGCCAAAGTGAAGGTAGAAAAAACTGTATTTGGACAATTTTGAAAAAAAAAAACTTGAAACTGCTATAATGTTTTATGAAGGTCTTAAACTATATAAAACTTGAAGTTTGTAAAAATAGCCAACATTTATTTTCTATTTTTGATCTATATTTTAATTTCCGAATCACATACTCATTCAAAAATATTATATTTTACTTCGTATCATTAAAAACAGTTTTAATAAACTACCTTAAAATCCTACGAGAAATCACATTTAAAAAAAAGCTAATGTAATACATACAGTATAGACATAATTACAGAACTCTGAAGAGTTTTATTGTTAAGAGACATGTTGTTTGCGTCCCTACCAAGGCCGACGACACGGGTTTTGAAGTGGGAGGCACAATCATCAATTTGTGAAAAAAGTCCTCCATAACA